CCTAGGTGATCTTGGGCACAAATAACTCTTGCCAAGAATCCCACGCCAAGTTCCTCTGCAAAGGGAAAGCCGCAAGCACGGCCTGCTTGCAAAGCATGCAGGACTAAAGGTGTATTTTACAAAAGGGCAGGAAAGTTTTCCATTCTACCTCTTTATGGAGCACCTTCTGGTGCATAACCTATTTCAATATAATTAATTTTTCCAAAAACTGTTCCTGAGTCATCAGAAAACTCAACTGCAAGGGCAAGCAATGCCACCTTGTCCTGCAGATAGCCAGAGGGCTCAGAAGGACAGCATTTGGCTTTGGCGGTGACTCAGAGACGTGCTCTCCTCTCTCTCTCTTTCTTGCTTTCAGACCCAGGAGAACTTCAGACAAAGGATAAGCAAATGCAATTGAAAAGTGCAAGAGAAAGCAAGGAAGTCTTAATCCAGACACAAATTAAAGTCTCTCACAAAGTCCCAAACACCAGTCTTCCATCAGACAATGGGCAATGAACTAAGTTCTTAGCAGCCGACACAAAGTGAAAACATCAGTATCAGAGTTGTTGTTACCAGTGACAGCTGACTGCTTCTGCCTCTGATTATAGCCCTGAATCCCCCACACAGGAGGTACTAGGGTGTCTCCCAATTAGCTCATAGTTTTTAGCAGTTTTCCTAGCTGAACGCCGTCTGTGCTCTGTCTCTTTTCATCTCTCTAGAAATATGGGCATTTTCAAACCCTCATTGTCTGATTCTTCTTCTTCCTCCAATTCCTGGCTCCCCTTCCTCCTCCGAAGATGAGGAATCCCTAACAGTTCCTCTGTGATCCCTCTGAACACCCCATTGTGACCCCCCCCACACACAGGTCCCGACCTCCAGATTGAGAAACACTGTTCTACCTGGGCACTTTCTCTTCCTAGTTTCTCCTCATCCACTATATGCTTTTAATCCATTATATCCAAGGAGGTTGTGCCCATTCTTTCCCTCTTCGCTGGACTGCTCCTGCCACTGATTAATAGCCCTGAATTCCCCATGCAGGAGGTGCTAGGGTGTCTCCCAATTAGCTCATTGTTTTTAGCAGCTATCCCAGCTGCTATCTGTGCTCTGTCTCTTTTAATCTCTCTTGAAATGTGGGCACTTTCAAATCCTCATCGTCTGAAGCTTGCAAATTGGTGTCTCCCAATTAGCTCAGCATTTTTAGCAGCTATCCTAGCAGAACGCCATCTGTGCTCTGTCTCTTTTCATCTCTCTAGAAATGTGGGCACTTTCAAACCCTCATTGTCTGATTCTTCTTCTCCCTCCAATTCCTGAGCACTTCCCTGCTCCCCTTCCTCCTCCAAAGATGAGGAATCCCCAACATGCTCCTAGTTGTTTCCTTTTTTCAGAAAATACATATTTAGGATTTCTCATTTTCTTTGCATTGGCCAGGGATCTCTACGAGTGAGCCCAAAAAAGCTGGTGCTATTCAGATCGTGCTTGGTTTCATCCCTGGACTGCACAAGTCTCTCGTGTCATCAAGTCTCCAGACCTCAATGAGTACGTAGAAATAGGATTAGGCTGAGGGATCCTCTGCCCACACATTCCTATGCATGTTTACCAAAAATGACTCTGTCTTTCTTCCTCCTGTCAGCCACTGTCTCCTCCCCCTTTGAATAAGTAGGAATGGAATTCTGTGAGGGAACTTCCTTTTTAAAAGTATTTTTATTGCCCTGGGCTTGGCCATGAGACCATTTGCCATTTCATAGAATCGTAGAGTTGGAAGAGACCTAGTGGGCCATCCAGTCCAACCCCATTCTGGCAAGAAGCAGGAATATTGCATTCAAATCACCCCTGACAGATGGCCATCCAGCCTCTGCTTCAAAGCCTCCAGAGAAGGAGCCTCCACCACACTCCGAGGCAGAGAGTTCCACTGCTGAACGGCTCTCACAGTCAGGAAGTTCTTCCTAATGGAACTTCCTAATGGAACTGCTTTTCCTGGAGGGGCAAGAGATTAGGAGAGATTTCACATGTGTGTGTCTGAGGGAGAGTTGAGCTTCCCTACCATTCAAGGAACACTGTGGTGCACTTGGAAGGGAACCCAGAGGTCATTTAGCCTATCCCCAGAGGCAGCTCAACCCATTACACAAAGTAAGCATTTGCAGTATAATTGATTTTGCCCAGGGGCGCTCTTGAGGAGCTCTTAGGGGAAAATAGACCTTGAAATATGCGAGTTGTAGTTACTGGGATGTATAGTTCACCTACAATCAAAGGATTCTGAACTCCACCAATGATGGAATTGAACCAAATATGGCACACAGAACTCCCACGACGAACAAAAAATATATATATCAGTGATTGGTGGGGAGGTGGGGGGGGGGCAAAATACTGTTTGCTTACCGTTGAAAATTACCTAGGGCCGCCTCTGCCTATCCCCTTCCAATGCAGTGCAGAATCATAGAGTTGGAAGATAACTCATAGGCCATCCAGTCCATCCCCTTTCTGCCAAGACACAGGAAAGTCACATTCAAAGCACCCCTGACAGATGGCCATCCAGCCTCTGTTTCAAAGCCTCCAAAGAAGGAGATTCCACCATACTCCGGGGCCGAGAGAGAGTTCCATTGCTGAACAGTTCTCTCACACAATCAGGAAGTTCTTCCTTAAGTTCAGGTGGAAACTCCTTTATTTTCTGTAGTTTGGAGCCATTTTCTGTAGTTTGAAGACATGAGAAGAAGGAGAAAAAGAGGGGGGGAGGGAGAAAAGGGAGGGAAAGAAAGAAAAAGGAGGGAGGAAAGAAAAGATGAAGAAGAGAAGGAGAAGGAGGAGAGGAAGGAGAAGAGGAAAAAGAAAAGAGGAGGAAGAAGCAAGGAGGGGGAAGGAGAAGAGGAAAGAAAGAAAAGGATGAAGATGAGAATGAGAGGAGGAGGAAAAAGAAAAGGAAATGAAGAAGGAAGAAACGAGAAGGGGGAAAGGAGAAGAGGAGGAAAGAAAGAAAAGGATGAGGAAGAGAAGGAGAGGAGGAGGAAAAAGAAAAGAAGAGGAAATGATAGATGAAGAAAAGAGAAGAAGAAGAGGAGGAAAGAAAGAAAAAAGGATGAAGACAAGAAGGAGAGGAAGAAAGGAAGGAGAGAAGAGGGAAAAGAAGAGAAGGAGAAAGAAAAGGAGGAAATGAAGGAGGAAGAGAAGAGAAGGAGTGGAAGGGGAAGAGAAAGAAAAGGATGAAGCAGAGAAGGAGAGGAGGAGGAAAAAAGGAAAAAAGGAAAGAGGAGGAAAGAGGAGGAAGAAAAGAGAAGGGGAAAGAAAAGAAAAGATGAAGAAGAGAAGGAGAGGAGGAGAGGAAGGGGCGGAAGGAGGAAAAAGAAAAGCAGGAGGAAAGGAAGGAGGAAGAAGCAAGGAGGGGGAAGGAGAAGAGGAAATGAAGAAAAGGATGAAGATGAGAAGGAAAGGAGGAGGAAAGAAAAGCAGGAAGAAAGGAAGGGAGAAGAAAAGAGAAAGAGGAAAGGAGAAGAAGCAGAAAGAAAGAAAAGGATGAAGAAAAGAAGAAGAGGAAGTATAGGAGGAAGAAGAAAGACAAGCAGGAGGAAAAAAGGAAATGAAAACAAGCAATTTGGAAAGAACAAGGGGAAGGGGAAGAGAAGGAAAGAAAGAAAAGGATGAAGAAGAGAAGGAGAAGGGGGAAGGTGAAGAGGAAAGAAAAGGATGAAGAGAAGGGGAGGAGGAGGAAGAAAAGGGGAGGAAATGAAGGAGGAAGAGGAGAGAAGGGGAAAAGGAGAAGAGGAGGGAGGAAAGAAAAGGATAAAGAAGAGAAGGGGAGAAGAAGAGGAAGGAGAGAGGAGAAAAAGAAAGGAGGAAGAGAAGGAGGAAAGGAAAGAAGGAGGAAAGAGAAAGAAGGGGAAGAGGAAGGAAGAAAAGAATGAGGAAGAGAAGGAGAGGATGAGCAGAGGAAGGGGTGGAAGGAGAAAAGAAGAAGAGAAGAAAGAAGAAGGGAAGGGGAATGAGGTGCTGAAGAGGGAGGAAAAGGATGAAGAAGAGAAGGAAAGGAGGAGGAGGAAAGAAAAGCAGGAAGGGAGAAGAAAAGAGAAAGGGGAAAGGAGAAGTGTTAGAAAGAAAGAAAAGGGAGGAAGGATAGGAGGAAGAAGAAAGACAAGCAGGAGGAAAAAAGATGGGAAAATGGAGGCAGAAGGAAAGACAAGGGGGAAGGAGAAGAGAAGGAAAGAAAGAAAAGGATGAAGAAGAGAGGGAGAAGAGGAAGGAGAGAAGGAGAAAAAAGAAAGGCAGGAGGAAGAAAAGAAGAGGAAGAAGGAGAAGGGAGGGAGGAGAAGAAAAAAAGGTTTGAGGCGAGGATGAGGAGAGGAAGGGGTGGAAGGAGAAAAGAAGAAGAGAAGAGGAAAGAAGAAGGGGATGCTGAAGAGGAAAGAAAAGGATGAAGAAGAGAAGGAAAGGATGAGGAGGAAAGAAAAGCAGGAAGAAAGGAAAGGAGAAGAAGGGAGAAGGGAAAGGAGAAGGAGAAAGAAAGAAAAGGAGAAAAGAGAAGGGGAGGAGGAGGAAAAGAAGGAGAGGAAGAAGAAGGGAAGGGGAAGGAGATGCTGAAGAGGGAGGAAAAGGATGAAGAAGAGAAGGAAAGGAGGAGGAAAGAAAAGCAGGAAGAAAGGAAGGGAGAAGAAAGGAGAAGTGGCAGAAAGAAAGAAAAGGATGAAGAAGAGAAGGGGAGGAGGAAGAAAAGAAGGAGAGGAAGAAGAAGGGAAGGGGAAGGAGATGCTGAAGAGGGAGGAAAAGGATGAAGAAGAGAAGGAAAGGATGAGGAGGAGGAAAGAAAAGGAGGCGGCTTTGCGGCGTCCGGAGGGAGAGAAGGGCCCTCGCTGCTTTTCCCCTTCCCCTTCCCCTTCCCCTTCCTCTTCCTCTTCCTCCATCTCATCCCCCCGCGTCCCCTTCCTCCTCCTCCTCTGGCGGGACCCCCCCTCTCTTCCTCGGAGGAGGACCTGCTTCTCCTGCTGCATCCGAGGCTGCTCCTGCTGCTGATGTCTCCTGCGGTGGCGGGCGGAGGAGGGCTCGGCTTCGGCGGAGGAGGATGCCTGCGTGCCGGGGGAGCCGCTCCTCCCGCGCCCTGGCCGCCGCCGCGGTGCTGATGCCGGGCTCGGGAGGGGGTGGGGGCCCCGGCCTGCCCCTGTCCCTCCGCCGCCCCTCCTCGTCCCTCTCGCGGCGCCTGGCCCGGCTCCGGGGGTCCCGCGCCCGCCTCATGCTGGCCCTGGGCGCCGCCCAGATGGCCCTGGGCTGCCTCATCGTGGCCCTCAGCTTCGCCGCCCTCGCCCTCACCACCTCCGCCCGCGTCAGACACTCCTGCCCCTTCTGGGCCGGCTTCTCGGTGAGTAGGGGTCGCAGGGGTCGCCCCCCCTCCCCTCCCTCCCCTCCCAGGGGACCCTTCTCCCTTTGTCGCTCCTGCCGGATGGCACTAGGCAGGACCACCCCCCTCCTCCTCCTCCTCCTCCTCCTGCAGACCCCTCTGCCCTTGGGTTCCCTCCCTGCCACACTCAGTGGCACAATTGTTTTGCCTGCCTTCCTATCTATCTTCCTGCCTGTTTATTTATCTACCTACCTATTTATTTATTTGTCTATATGCCCCCCCTCTCTCTACCTATCTACCAATTTACCTGTCTGCTTATCTATCTAATTTTTCTATTTATCTACCTTCTTATCTATTTATCTGCCTGTCTGTTTACCTATTTATCTACCTGCCTACCTACCCACCTATTTATCTACCTGCCTATCTACCTACCTATTTATCTATCTACCTATCTATTTATCTATCACCTTACCAATCTACCTACCAACCTATTTATCTACCTGCCTATCTATTACCCTACCTATTTATCTACCTGCCTATCTACCTACCTATTTATCTACCTATCTATGTATCTATCACCTTACCTACTTATCTACCTACCTATTTATCTATCTATCTACCTATCTATTTATCTATCACCTTACCAATTTATCTACCAACCTATTTATCTACCTGCCTATCTACCTACCTACCTATCTATCTATCTATCTATCTATCTATCTATCTATCTATCTATCTATCTATCACCTTACCTATTTATCTACCTGCCTATCTACCTACCTATTTATCTACCTATTTCTCTATCTACCAATCTGTTACCTTACCTATTTATCTACCTGCCTACCTATTTATCTACTTACCTATTTATCTACCTACCTATTTATCACTTTACCTATTTATCTACCTAGCTATCTGTTTAACTACCTACCTATTTATCTACCTTCCTATTTATCTACTTATTTATTTATTTATTTAAAACTTTTATATCCCGATCTTCTCACCTCTGTACAGGGACTCAGACCTGCTTTATCTACCTAAATATCTATTTATCTGCCTACTAGGGCTGGGCGGTTTTGTTTCATTAATTCGTAATTCGTTAAAAATTCGTTATTTTTTGATAACAAACCATTCTGGAGCAACTTAAAAACGAAACGAATTTTTAAATTCGTTTCGTAATTGTTTTGGATTCGTTATGTATTCGTTTTGTTATCATTTTGAAGTCGTTTCGTTATTATTTCCGCATGTCTGGGGCAAGTTTTATAGTTGTTTTTTGTTTAATTAGTGAAAAAAATTATAATATCACACCAACAGTCAACAACAGAGGGAGAGGGAAGCTTTCAGAAGTTCCCCCTGTCCCATTTGGAGGGTTTTTTAGCG